TGTCCTTAATTTCTAAAACTGTCATTTCAAAATGTTATATTAAAGAATTCATAGGGAGTGTACCCTTTGGGATTGACTTTTCTCACATATCATACTTGCCTGGAGATTCATCTAAGCATTGCCTGAACAGTAGTTAGCTTCTTTTTATTACTGAATGTTGTTCTGTGTGATGACGTCCCACAGTTTGTTTTAACACTCACCTTTTAAGGGATGACTGGGCTGATTCCAGTTTTGGCCTGTCACAAATAAAGCTGCTCTGAACATTCCTATGCAGGTTTTTGTTTTGTTTTGTTTTTTTAATGAACATAAGTTTTCATTTCACCGGGATAAATGCCCAAGTGTGCAAATACTGAGTTGTATGGTAGTTACATGTTTAGTTTTCTAAGAAACTGCCTGACTGGTATCCAGAGTGGCTGTAATAGTTTACATTCCCACCAGTGATCTATGCTTGATCCAGTTTCCTCACATCCTTGCCAGCATTTGGTGTTGTCACTCTTACTTTAGCCACTCTGATCCATGGTATTGTGCTAAGACAGAAAGGCTGGAGGGGCTGGGGTTGGTTAAGCTCCGGTATAGTAATTTCTCTTAAGGGCAGGAGGGGAACAGAATGCTCTGAGTGTCCTTCAGAGCGGCTTCAGCTGCTGTAACAAAGTGCAGTAAGCTGAGAGACTTCACAGAAATTTATTGTCTTGTAGTTCTGGAGGCCAGAGTCCAGGATGAGGGATTGGCTGCCTTGGTTCCTGGTGAGAGCCCTCTTCCTGACTTGCAGACAACTGCCTTCTAACTGGGTCCTCACACGGCCCTTCCTCCACAGGGCCACACAGAGGGAGAGATCGTGCTCTACTTCTTCTTAAAAGATCATAGTCCTTTCAGATTAGCACCCTACCCATATAAGCTCATTTTACCTTAATTACCTCCTAAAAGCCTTATCTCCAAATACAGTCACATTGCAGGTTGAGGGCTTCAGCATAGGAATCTGGAGGGGACACAGTTCAGTTCATAGCAATTACTTTACCCCCACTTGCTAGAAGCCTGAGGGGATTTTCTCTGATGTTAAGGGCAAGAACCTGGTATGTCTCAGGAAAGTTGGGGGCTCCTCTGAGACCATGTTAACTCTCAAGCCAGCCAGACGCAGCCTCCAGTGTTCGTCCTTATGGTGCCCATTTCCCTTCCAGTTTCAGGCTCCAACCTCTGCTCCTGGTAAGCTCTGAATCCTTTGCCTGTCTCTCCAGTTTTCAGGGTGTTGGCTTGCCCTTTGACCACAATTCTCTAAGGTTTCGAAGAGGAGTTGTTGATTTCAGTTTATCCAGCCTTTTTCTTATTGGGGGGATGGAGCTTTTTACATGTCAGACCAGAGACCAGAACTAGTATTACGTTTTTAATTTGGGTTTCTGTATGTTCACTATTAGGACACAGAAATAAAATGGGTTTTCATCTGCCAGTCCCCCCACCTTGCTGAACTCACTCATTAGTTCTCGGGGCAGGGGAGGGGAGGAGTTGCCACGCCTGGCTTCTCAAACCTGTGCTGTCCCTGAGGTCAGTCCCACAGCTCTTCTCTCCCAGTGCTGCCTCTGCCCACACGGGGCCACTGAGTGGCTCCGCCGTGGGAACTGCCTCAGACCACTGGTGAGCGGGTGGCTTGTCTGGGCTCCCAGCTCTGAGTGTTTGTGTCCATGGTGAGTGTGTGGTGGCCTTGCTTAGGCCTTCTCCATCAGGAGGGCAATTGCTGGGCACCTGGGTGGCTCAGTCGTTGGGCGTCTGCCTTCGGCTCAGGTCATGATCCCATGGTCCCAGGATCGAGCCCCGCATTGGGCTCCCTGCTCGACGAGAAGCCTGTTTCTCCCTCTCCCACTCCCCTTGCTGTGTTCCCTCTCTCTCTGTCAAATAAATAAATAAGTCCTTAAAAAAAAAAAAAAAGAGGGCAATTGCTGGGTTGATTTAGGATGAAAAGTTCAGACTGCATTTGCCTGCAGACCAACTTCCTGTGAAATGACCCATCTAGGGCTTTCCTGGGCCTCCCGTCCCCTTTCAGGCTTATTTCTAGGACACACTTGTAAATGGATTCTAGGTATCCATTTATTTTCTTTCCCTCCGCTTTTTAGTATAAAAAGCTTTAAACACACAGAAAAATTGACATAATATGCACTGATCAGCCCCATATTACAATCTTAATTTGACAGTATTGTTAACAATACCATAAAGTACCATACGTACTTTAGTTTTTGTTTGTACGGGTCTTTGTATCTCTCTGTACTGTGTGTATGTGTGTGTGTTTTTTCAAGCCATTTGAAAGTAAGTGTCAGATACCATGAGACTCCGCTTCTAAATAGTTCACAGGCAACTTCTGCCTAACCACAGTCCTACTGTAACACCTGAGAAACCTAGTCGTAATCATCTAACACTATCCAATATTCCGACCATATTTACATTTCTCTAATTATTCAAAAATGTCTTCTGTGGTAAATTTTTTGGAACTAGGATACAGTTGAGGGTGATGCATTGACCTGTCAATGCTGTTCTCGTGGCAGAGAAAAGCCCCTTGATTGCACTCGCAGAATCTGTGGGTCAGGGCTTCAGATGGGGCACGGGACAGATGGCCCCCCCCACCTCTGCTCCCATCATGGGTGCTGGGAAGACCGGACAGCTGGGGTGACCCAGAGGCCAGGGCTGGAATCACATGCGGCTCCTCTCTGTGGGGCTCGGCTCCTTTAGGGAGTGTCAAGGGGGCACCAGGAGGACCACATGGCAGGCACAAGGCTTCTGACCTCAGAAATACTCCACATCATCCTCACCCAGACCCCCGCAAAGCACAGGGAGGGACACAGGCTCCTCTGGGTGGGGAGTGTCCACTGCAGAAGGGGATGTGGGGGGGGAGAGGCCATTGAGGCCATGTATGGAAAATATGGTCAGCCTGCCTCTATGTGTTTAGCCTTTTTAACCTGGAACACCTGATTCACCCCCACAAGGCTGTCTCTTTGAAGAGACCTATAGGCCGTCCCACATTCTGAATCTGATAGTGTCATTCAGTCTGCTCCTCTGTTCCTTATACTTCCTATAAATTAGAAACTAGGCCTAAAGGCCTGATCAGATTCACAGTAAGCCCATGTAGCACAGACATCCATTTGTTTTAAAATGTGACCAGGAGATGACTGCTAGCATCTTGTTTTGTCTTCTGCAATAAAACCCAGATGAGTGTAAGTTAGAATTAAGGAGGTGATGGACACAGACATGGAGAGACAGAGGGTGCCCATGCTCCCAGTAGGGTGCCCTGCGGGGCACACACCTGAGCCTCGTCACAGGAAGCATCCAGCAGGCCCCAAGTGAGGAAGTGTTAAAGGGGAGAGGCAGGGAGGGACTGTATCTGTCAAAATTTTCGGTGTCACACAAGACAAAGGCCACAGAAATATCCCAAATTCAAGGAGGCTAAAACGGCCTGCCTGGTAAAGGCACTGCCTGAGGGGAGGAAGGGGCATAATGGGCAACTGAGATGTAGGTGGTGTGATTCATGTCCTGAAGCCAGACCTGCATGACAGTATATGAGAACACATGCACCTCCTTAGGAAACACACAGTGCAGGGCCTCGTGTGTGTGTGTGTGTGTTGTGTGTACACGCGTGCGTGCATGTACCTGCAGAAAGCATCTGCCACAAAGCACACGGGGATGCTGCCAGCCAATGAGCCTGGGTGAAGGGTGCATAGGTGTTCTTTGTAGTAGCCTTGCCCGTGTTGTGAAGGTTTGAAATTATTTCCAAACAAAGACTAAATATTAAAGGTAAACAGAAGAAAATTAACTGAATGAAGATTCCATTTCTGGCTGTTCATAAAATCAAGGCTGTTCTCAGAGAACAAGATGAGTGTGTATCGATACTGAAAAACAATTTTAATTTTCACAATGAAACGTAATAAACACAAGAGAGTTCCATACCAGACATAATGGCCATGAGTTTATGTTGTTTGGAAAACACCTCTTTACCCTCAGTTCTGAGATTTTAAGGACAGGATGAGGGGCAATCTCTTTACAGAGAAGAGAAGGAGCAGTGATCACGAGAAAAACACGTAGACTCTCTAAGCATGAATAATCCAAGTTGAAACAACTTCAGGGTTCCATCATCTGCTTCTCAAGTCCTCAGAAACGTAATAACACCGTGGTTGTTAGCGCAGCCCCGGGGGAGTGGTGGGCGTGCATTGAGAGTGGCGCTGGGAAGCCATTCGGAGGATGCCACTCTGCAGACACCTGGGGCTGCTGGTGCTTGGCCTCGAGAATGGATGGGCGGCTGTGGGGAAAAGCAAACAAGCAATAGTGTGGTGTCTATGAAGATATGCACGACAGTTGAACGTATCTGGCATTTGCACGGTGAGAGGCGGTAGGGGCAGCGTTCTCGTTGCTGTTTCAGCTCATGGCGCCTTCGTTTGCCCCCCCCCCCCCGCGGGCATCTGTTGAGCATGCACCGCCTGCTGGCCAGTGGGTACTGAGAAAAAGCAGAACACGCAGTTTAATCACTGCCTCGTCCTGCTGAAAGCTATGTCTGTATGTTTAATGACAAAGACCAGAGGAGACTTCGAGGAGCTTCATATACTTCAAGTTTAATTGGGTGTTTTCCTTCAAATTGCTTAAAGTAATAATTGGAAATAACCATGAAAGAAATGAGAACAACATGGAAGGTTTTCAGAGCAGTGGTTTGTATGTTCCTGATGTGACCGCCTCTGATGGTCCAGATGTGTCTCCTCTCCTCCAGGGAGTGGAGCAGGCTTTCTCCTCTGTGGCACTGTGGCCGTCGGGGCCGTATCAGTCCTGCCCTGGAGGACGCTGAGCACCTCCCCCACGAGATGCCAGTAGCCATCCCCTCCCAGCTGTGATAAAGAGCCTTGTCTCCAAACATTGCCCCATGTTCCTCAAGGAACAAAATCTTCCCTGGCCAGAGCCACTAGAATGATCTGAATTGAGCTGCTGGTTTAAAAAAAATAACTTTGTCATCTGTATTTTAATCCATTTTGCTCCAGAGTCAGAAATGCAAGGATGAAGTGTCCCAGCTCAATCACAAGGTCCTTCAGCTTGGAGAAGAGGCCTCTATCCACCAGGCCCAGAATGAGAAGAACTGCATCACCATTCAGCTGTTAACACGGAGACTGGAGGAGGTGGGGCAGCGGGAGGGGTTGCAGGTGAGTAATCTAGACCGTCAGGAACAGCCTTAAAATGCCTGGAGGCAGACTCATCCCTCAGGTAAAGAGAGAGACTTAGTAAGTATGTGCCTTGGAAAATTTGACTTCAGCAGCTTTTGCAAATCCTCAATATCTAGAAAAAGTAGCAGAAAGGAATTAAATCCTGATGCCAGGAGAGTAAATTGGTAGACCTCTCAGGAGGACATTTGGGCAAAATATACATCAAGTACCTCAAGAATGTCAGGGTGCTCTGATTTTATAATTTTGCTTATGGGAATTTTATCTGATCATTGTGGAAAGACTTAGCTGAAGTATTTTCATTGCTGTGGTATTTATGATAGCAAAACAATTCAAATCAGCTTAAATCATCAATAATATTGAATGAATCAGTAAATTATGGTATAGCCATTAAAAATCATGTTTCAAATAATAATTAATGTCATGGGGAAATGCTCAAGGTAGAATGAGGAAAGCATAGGATACGATGCTGTACTAATAGCTAGAACTGCACGTTTGGAGGAAGGGCTGAGATCACACAGTGTCAGGTGTGGTCCTCAGCTGCTGGGATGATGGGTGATTTAAATTTCATAATCTTTGCTTTTCTGTACATTTCTGAAGTTTCTACATTAAACATATCAATGCTGAGATATTTCTTATACTTGTGAAATTGATTTTTTTAAAAACAGGGTGAGCACATCCAAAAACTTGAAGTTGAACTCGAACACAAGAATCAGGAATGTCAGAGCCTAAGACTGTCACAGTCACAGCTGAGAGAGACCCTTGAAGAAAGTCAAGACCAGGTGGGTGTGCATAATGGCCAGTGGCTGGGTCTCAGCCAGGAAGAAAGTCAACATGGTTTGGCACTGACAGAGCCTGGCCAGGACGGGTCTGGCCCAGAGAGGTTATTAGCCTGGCCTGAGGTTACATAGCTGGTTGGGCGCTTACAGTCCCAGGACTGAAGTAGAGCCTTGTCCAGGGTTGGCTGAGCCATCTGTGGGCCGAGCTGTGTTTCAGTTTATGCACAAGGGAAGGAGGCTGGTAAGCAGTGCTTTTCGGTGTGGCATCTGCAAAACAGAAGAGCAAAGGAGAGTGACAGGTGGCTTCTGAGGTAGGGGGTGGCGTCAGATCCAAGGACACAGGGCGGAGTAGTCCCAGTGGTTGGCAAGCTTGGTGCACAGAAGCCCTGAAGTTGCGCACACGTGTGGGTGTCGAGCTCCTGCCTTCTGCCTTCTCTCCTGCTCCAGCATTTATCCAGTGCGCCAGGTTCTCAAGGTGCAGAGATAGGAAGGTGGAGAGCTAGCAGTCTCGGACAAGTAAGTGTGAGCAGGATGGGCCAACAAGGACCTTGGGGTGCCCGGACAGCATGAGGTGCAGGGACACAAGAGAGGAAGAGCTGGTGCTTAGATGCTGGGGGCTGCAGGAAGGAAAGAGGGGCCGTGGGAGAAGCCTCCCAAGCACGGTGTGGGAAGGGCCCTACAGCTGGACTTGCTATGCCCCCCAACATACTCAGGGCCTTAAGACATGCTTTTGGGGGCTCTGTGGGCTCTCACCTTCCCACTGCAAACAAGCACTGTCCCAGAGGTCCTTCTGAGCATTTGGGGGATCCCTTCTCTGTCTTTAAGTCTGAAAGGAACCTTGAGAAGTTGCCTTGCCCAGTTTTGAGCCCTTGGAGGCTAGGAGGCAGCCACTGCCATGGGCAGAAGATTCCTTACTTAGGCAGTCCCTCTGTGATATGAGCTGGTTTCCCCTTCTTCGTGGTTCAGAAGAGGACCCCAAAACCACAATGAAAGTTCTCATGAGGGAAGTAAGGGGAGGCCGTGGTAAGGGTGGCGTGGAGCCCTGAGGGAGGGGCCAGGGTTGTCACTGGCACACTTGGGGGTGGTTCTGAGGAGGAGGGCCTGGAGGTAGAGCAGCTTGGGGGGGAGCATCTAGAGGGCCTGGCAGAGGACTTTGTGCAGCTCCGAGTGGGGTGTGGGGGAGCAGAATGCTGCACGCATCACACGCCCCTGGGAATCTTGGCTTGGTGCCACCCCCAAACCTGGCAGCTTGTAGCACTGTTTACCATTCTCCTTCACGGTCTGTGGGCTCTCTTCACTTGATGTCTCGGGGGGGCCGTTGCAGTGCGGTGGGGTTGGGGCAGGCATCATCGGAAGGCACAGCTGATCGCTGTGTGGGAGCTCTGGGCTCGCAGGGCTGGGACGTGGGGCTGGCGGGTGCCTGGGGGCCCAGGGTGCTGTCAGCTGGAGCCCCCACACGTGGCCTCTCAGTGGCATGGGGTTCTCTGAGTGCAGCAGCAGCAGGGAAGCTCTGATAGTAGAGGCGACCAGGCGCCCTCAGAGGAGCACATACAGCTCCCAGGCCCCTCAGGACTGCGCCATGGCGTTCCAGAACATTATTCCCCACATTCTATTGATCCAGCCTGGGTTCAGGGGGAGGGCACAGAGCCCACCTCTCCATGGGGGAGGACACAGTCCTCACCTCTCAACACAAAGAGGGCAGAGCCCCCATTCCTCAAGGGGCAGGAAGAGAGCCTGCGAGCACAGGTGGGCAGAGCTGATGGCCAAGGCAGCTCACTGCCATGCCCTAGCTCCCAGAACACAGCCACCCTCATTTCCTGGCTGTTGGCGGCCCCAGTGCTCTCTGGAGACATCTTTCTCCTTGTTATGTGATAGTGGAGGTGGGGTCTCCAGAGCTGGTCCGGGCTCCACCCGGAGTCTCACTTCCACGAGGAGGGAGATGAGGGGGCTCAGGAGACAGCAGGGGGAGGGGCGGGGGGTGTTACGGGCTGCTTGCCCTGCACAGAGAGCTGCAGGGTAGGGCCACAGACACAGAGACCTCACGCTGGGTCAGACAGTGGCCTTCGCGCAGGAGCTTGTACCCGGCCCCAGGGTTCAGAGCAGAGGGGTGGCTGTAGTGGGTGTCCGCGAGGGGCATGGGGACAGAGTATTTTAAGAAAGAGCAGCATCAGGGCGTTGGGGAGTGCTGTTAGAGAGCAGGAGCACCTTTGGGATGGGTGGGCACTCTGACATGGTGTCACTAGGGCCTGGGCTGGGGCTCAGCTTCTGGCTTGGGTGTTTGCAGGATCACTGAAGCATGAAAGTCAGGAGGAGGCTACATTTGTAGGGTTGTGTTTTCGAACTGGTTCTCCCCTCTCTGTTCCTCTCTCTCAGGGTTTCCAGACCTGATTCCAACATTGTGTAGGGGGCTCCCCAGACACAGCACACAATTATCAGACACCAGCAGGGTGTCTGAGAATTCAGTTCTGTTATGACACTATGCCTGGAGACAGCATCAGACCCCACAGGTGAAGGGTTTAGTCCTACAAGACTGCCCACCCCCAGCCCCACCTCAGAGGCCAGCCCCAGGCCCAGGCTGTTACCTGTTACCTTCTGACCAGCCAGCTACAGATTGGAGGTTTCAACCACCTCCTCCTGAGGTTTGACTAATTTGCTAGCGTGGTCACAGAACTCAGGGAGACACCTAACACTTACCAGTTCATTAAAGGATATGATAAAGGAAACCAATCAATAGCCAGAGGAAGAGGATACATAGGGTAAGGTCCCAAACATCTGTCCTTATGGAGCCTGAGCCCTGCCTGGTGGCACATGGAAGTGTTCTGATTCCCCAAGCATGGAAGATCTCCCGAAAAGGGACCAGATGCCTGCCCTCGGGTTTTTCTGGAGGCTTCATTACGCAATTGTGATTGACCAAGTCATTGGCCATTGGCTGTTTCAACCTCCAGCCCCTCTTCCCTCTAGGGAGGTGGGGGTGGGACTAAAAATTCCAACCCTTAAGCCTGTGGTTGGCCCTCCTGGCAGCCAGCTCCCCCGCCCCCCTCGGGTGCTATCCAAAAATCACCTTCATTAATAACAAGACACCTATTTCAACTCTCTGCCTCTGAAGCATTTTCAGGATCAGGTATCTCTGAGAAATGTATTTTGGTCATGTGATCTTATAAATCATTATATTGCACTCTCCCGAAAGAGCATGGTAGCTATTCTGGAAACTGTGGGTGTGTTTCTCTGGGATGACCCCTGTCCTAAGAATAGCCACACGTTACAGTAATGACGTGGCCCCCCGAGACGGCCCCTCAGAGACACAAGGGGACACAGTGACCTGAGGTCTGCAACCTTGCTCTTGCCCTTGAGTTGCCATAGCTGCCACCCTCCCCATCTCTCTGACCCCACCTCAGTCTTGCCCTAAGTGTGACCTTTGATGGAGCCACTTCCCTCTCCCATCTGTGGGGCCTCAGAGGTGTGTGAGGGCTGACATGGCCAGTTAGGGTGCCAAGGAAATTCTGGGTATTCTAGGTGAAGCCTCCAGAATCAAAGTGATTTAAATGGTGTTTAATAAAAGGATTGGCCACGTTACGCACAGTTCAGTACTAATGGTCCCACACAACTCCAGTGAAATCTTGCCATCCTCTGTCGTTGGGGAGCAGGGTGCTGGGGTGTTTCTGCACTCGCTGGCAGGGTCCCTTTCGCCTTCATCGTGTGCTCCTTTGCCTTCTGTGGCCCTGGCCTCGGCTGTCTCAGGAGTGTGAGCTCTCCGCTTTGAGGAAAATCACCATGCATGGCCTGCGTGGGTTGCAGTAGTTACTTGGACTCTCTGAAGTCTGCTGAAGGGTAAACCCGACAGAATATAGCACGATTCTCCCTTGGGTGCAATGGGAAGCTCAGCATCACCACTTTGAGGATACAGACCCGAGTCTTCCTGACTGTCTCTGTGCAGAAGCTCTGGCCACACAGGAATTTGGCTGTCAGAATTCAAACGAATGCATTCTTCATGAGCCCTGCATTTAGCTGCAGATGGAGGGACAAGAGGAGGGTGGGTGCCTTGTGTGCGCTTCCAGTTGTAGGCTCTCTGTAGGCACGGAGTCTTGTGTGTCTGGTAATGACCCTGTAGCGCTCAGCAGTCACACCAGCCCTGGCATGGCCTTCTCTCCCGGGGCAGCTGCACAGAGCCAGCCTGGGGCTGAGGCTGACACAGTCCCAGCACTCCGAGGAGGTTCATCGGCTGCAGGAGCGGATGCAGTGGCTGGTGCCTCGGGACCTTGTGGACGAGCTGCAGCAGCTGCTGGAAGAGGAACGGCAGGCGGCTCGGCGGCTCCACAAGGAGTGCCTTCTCCAGGAGGAGAAGGGGAGGCGGCTGGAAACACAGTGGGTGAGTGGGGGCAAGGGCTCCGAGGCCCTGCTGATGGTGATGGCGGTGGTGAGGTTGCATCACTGGTCACGTGGCCAAAAACTGCCCTCCCAGCTCTTAGTGTTCTGGTCATACAGCAGCCCCAGGATCCCTATTTTCACTCTGAACAGTGCGGGACTCTATCGTCACCAAAGATGGATCGGGGAGGGGCGGCACCCACCCACTCAGGGAATGATGAGCCAGCTGACCTGAAAGGTCTCTCCAGCAGGGGGGCTGAGGGCATCTGTGGTAGGCCACATGACCACACGCTCGAGCTGTGCCCGGGGCCGGAAGTGCAGTGATGCTGAGGCCATGAGTGAAGCTGGGGGCGACGGTCCCACCCATGGAGCCCTGTGGGAGTTCTCCTGATTTCAAAGGAAAGCCGGAAACTGGATTTTTACATGAACACAGCCAGTTTCCAAATGATGCATCTGATGTAAAAAGAATCTTAAACCGTTTTGCAGAATGAAAAAAACCTACCCACAGGCACGCAAGGACTGCAGAAGTCATTTATTGGGTGCACACCGATCTAGGTGTCGGAGATATAGAAATGAACACACACGGCAAAAGCCTGTGCCCTCCTGGAGCCTACGTTCTAGTGGTGGGATGGGGGGAGAGAAATGAAAACCTGAGTCATGAGGATAGCATGTCAGATGGTGGTGAGTTGATGAGTGCTATGGAGCGGGACGCTTTGTAGTTAAAATAGGGGGCCAGAGAAGTTCTCCCCAATGTGTTACTTGAGCCAAGACCTGAAGGAGTTGAGGGAGCAAGGCTTCCACTTACCTGGGGAGAGTGCTTGAGAGGTAGCAGGAGCAACATATGCTGAGGCCCTGAGGTGGGTATGTACTTGGCATATTTTTTTTTTTTTAAGATTTTATTTATTTATTTGACAGAGAGAGATAGCGAGAGCAGGAACACAAGCAGGGGGAGTGGGAGAGGGAGAAGCAGGCTTCCCGCGGAGCAGGGAACCTGATGCGGGACTCGATCCCAGGATGCTGCGATCATGACCTGAGCTGAAGGCAGATGCTTAACGACTGAGCCACCCAGGCGCCCCTGTACTTGGCATGTTTAAGGAGGATGAGAGGGAGGCAGGAGGAGGGTGGTGGGACAAGAGGCCAGGGTGGAATGGCACACACATGGGGACCCTGGCTGTGCGCCAGGCACTGCACTAAGCATCTAGAGACCTAGAAACGGAGCTGCTGCCTTAAACGGGAGCAGGACACTGTGGCTGCAGAGGTCGGGATTCAGGCTCCATCATCTCCCAGCTGAGTGAGCTTGGCCAGCTACTTAACCTCTCTTCGCTTCATTTTTCTCATCTGTAAATGTCGGAGGCCAGTGGTCCCCACCTCAGAGCATTAGTGTAGGGCATCTGCCAGTTAGCACTTCTGGCGTGCTCGAATAGTCTGGCCTGTGTGCACCCTATGTTAGTGTTTAAAAGGCTGAGAAAACTCCCTCCTGAAATGTCACAGTGCGTTCATGAGGAAACATTGGGTGGGAGAGGGTGTGGAGGTAGGAGCCCGAGGTCATGGGGTGGGGGGGCTCCATGAGGAAGAAATTAGAGCAAGACTCGAAAGGTGGGGTAAGATTCAATGTTTGTGAAGTATAAATTCTATTGAAGAATAATCTTTCAGCCTTGTGCAAAAATGTTAAGCAGGAGATAAGCTTGGCCATGATAGAATATTGACAACACAAAGAAATTTAATCAGAAGTCCTTTCGAAATATTCAGTAACACATTTGGGGAAACACACTTTGGAATCATTTTTATGATTCAATTCTCAGGAAAGCAGGCCACTAATTGTCCTTGAACTACAAAGAGTGGTGTCAGCTTTTGGCTTGTGGTAGAACATTCTTTGTTTCTCTCTGCAGATGAAGGGTTATCTCCAGTCACTCCCAGATTTGTACATTTTAGCTAATTTCCATTCTGAAGTAAGTAAGCCTGATAACGATTCTTTTTGAAATGTAAACTATTGGCCCATAACCTTTTGTGGCAGGAAGAACATGAAAAAGAGCTTAAAGACACCCAAGAACAGGTAGAAGAGGTGGGAATGGTTCTGAAGAATGTGGAAATGCTCCTACAAGAAAAAGTGGCCGAGCTGAAAGAGCAGGTCAGTGACGGGTGTCTGTCATTGCCACATGTATTTTCTGAACTTTTTCCTTCTATGGTATTCAAGTAACTATTCCAGGGTGAGTCTGTCCTCATAGAACACGGAGAGAGCCCCATGTTCGTTTGGAACCACTGAACCTGGGGCTCCATCTAAACTTTGAGAATCTGAATATACAGATTTTTTTCGGAAGATGAACAGTTAAAAGCAATCAATAGAAAAACTGATTTTGTTAAATATGTACCCTAAATTATATTTGTATACATTGTGTTTATTTTGTTTTGGGAATTGTTTTAAGGTACATTTGAGAGGTGTTCACATCTCAGGATGTTCATTCATTTGTTCAGTCATTGGGCAGGTATTTACCGAGCACCTGTCATGTATCCCGGCATTCATTGTTCTGGGAAGACCTTGAGATGGGCCCTCATGGGCCTTACATTCTGGAGGTGGAGATAGACCATAACAAGAGAAATGACCTCAAGTTGTGAGAAATGCTCGCTCTGAAGAAGAAGAGATGGTGGTGGATGGGAAGTGGTGGGGATGGTTGGAGATCACTCTCTTCAGACATGGTGGGGCAGACACCAATGACCGCCATAGAGGGTCTGGCTGTGCCCCCGAGCTGAGGCCAGGTTGGCTTTTTGGAAGGGATAAGTGCTCATTGGGTGGGATTTTCCTTTGCAGTGTAGGGCTGAATGCCTGTAGCACCTCCAGTCAATGGGACAGCCATAATAAGGTACCCTCATGTCTCCATGTGTTCTGGGGGACATGCCAGAACCCCAGTGAGGAGGGGCATCCAGGCAGAGTTGCAGTGCAGGCCAGTGTCCTTAGACAGGATCAAGCGCAGCACGTCAGCAGGCCTCCAGGGAGTCTATTGTAGCTGATGGGTAGGCAGGACTCCCTCAAGGTCAGGAGTTTGCTTTTATTTTAGTTGCAGTTAGAAGCCACCAGAAGATTTTAAGCAAGAGCATGATATCTATATATTTTTAAATAAATCACTCTGGGGGAGAAAGGAAAAATTTGGACTGCTATAGGGAGCAAAGACCAAAAAAAGGCCAGAGCTGTTGTGACTGATGAAAGCTTACAGTCCAGTTCAGCCAGTACAGTCCACTGGTAAGAACAGGCAGCTGAGCAGCCAGCACAGAGGGTGCTGGGGCGGGGGGGCAGGGGCAAGGCTGGAAATAGGCAGGAGACACAGAGAAAAGGCTTAGCCAAACACCAGCTACTCCTAGAAGAGTTCTATTCAGAGCTGGAAGAAATTGGGAGAATCTGTAGAAATATTTTTATTACAGTAATCAAGTATGTTTAGAGGGTTCCTGAACTAAGCCCAAATGGGATGAAACATTTGCACTACCTCTTGTTCCCTGGGAAGTAGGAGGTCCCGGGGGGAGTCACACCCCCTTCCTTGACCATCTTCCTGGCCTTGCAGCTTCCTCCCTGCCGTCCACGGACTCCCTGGCCAAGTGTCACAGACTCTCAGTGACCCCTGCCCCTCACCTTACAGTCATTCTCTTGTAGGCACCCTCAGTTTGCTTCTTCTTGTCTGGCAAATCCTCAGTCCTGGTGAAATCCTGTGGCTCCTGCACCCCTGTCCTTGTGAGGTCCCGTCCATAGCCCCATGCCCCCCCCCACCCCCCCAGAACTAGCTTGTGCTCTGGCCAAGCGAACCAGCCGCCTGTGTCTGCGCGTGTACCACCGTGCCCAGCCCCTCCCTTCTCAGGGGCCCTCAGCCCCCGAACCCAAAGCTTAGGGAGCCCTGGCCCTGCCTCTGCTCCTCTTTACAGAAGTACCTGTGAAGGATTGTCTGCACACTCTCACCTGCCCTCCCTTGTGTTCCCCAATGCCATTGGCTCAGGTCCAGATTTGGGGGGTTGTGATGGATGCCCCCACTGTGTCCCCAGTGAGCCTGTCAGCTCAGCCTCTTCTCGCCCCACCTGCCAGCACTCCCACCTTCATCCTCTGAGCCCTGCGGTGTCCTTGTTTCCTCCTGTGCTCTGTTCTCAGCACGGGAGTGGCAGCAGCGCTTTCCCAGTGTGACTGAGGTGCTGGCCCCTCTCCCCTCCAAGCCTGCCACAGCCTTCAGAGTACAAGGCAGAGTTCCTCTAGGGGCCTCCAAGGCTCTGCAGGCTCTAGCCCCCTCCCCTCAGTGCCTGCGCAGTCAGTGTGGCAGCTCTAACCACCTCCCAGTGGGCCTCCCACCGCTGTGCCCCCCCAGCCACAGGCCTCTGGCCATTCCTGCCACCCCCAAAGACGTCCAGGCCTTTGCACCTGCTCCTCCCTTTGCCTGGAACGCACGCCCGGACAGCCTCAGCACTCTCCCTGCCTTATTCAGATTTCTGTTCACGTGTCAACAGAGAAGCCTTCCCTGTTCACCCCAACAAACGTAGGAACTCCCTCCTCAGCTGCCTGTCCCCTCCCCGTGAAACCAGTAACCAGAGAGTTAATAGGACTGCCAAATGCAGCTATAACTTTTCACCCTGACCTTTTTTGTTTGCCTGTAAACATGTCTGACTCCTCTCCTTGGGGGAGACAGATTCCAGTCTTGCCCTCCCGTCTCTCTCCTTTCCTCGCCACGCACTCCATTTGGACTGCACTTATTTTTCATTTTACTCTCTGCAGCCACGGTCAAGGTCTCTGCGCATCGGGCGGGCAGAGTTGGGTTTGGTTTCACACGGTTTTCTCTTAGCACTTGTCATGCCTCCACACCACATGTTTGTTTCTGGCCTGCCTGCTTCCATCAGAGTACGGACTCCTGAGAGCAGGGCCCTTATGAGGCCCTGGCACTACTTGTTCAGTGAATGAATGCAGTTTTGACTTTCAAAGCCCAAGGCCAGGCCCCCTGTGCCTTTGTAGCTAGAGTGGCCTTGTGTCCCCATTGCTGTGGCTGAGGTGTGTGGTGACACAGCCCATGCACCCAGGGCTTCGAGGGTGGACGCGGTGCTGAGGTAAGTCCTGGGTGACACGGTGGGTCAGCAGAGCACACGGAAATGAACCAGAATGACATGTTTTCCATTATGCTGGATCGTCCTTGTTGAGGTTGGTGATTGTAGTCTTTTTATATCTTCATTTCATGGTAAAATCTACTCTCACAAACTCGACTTCAGTTTTCTCTACCACATAATTCATCAGCTTCTCAATTTCCTCTTTCATGCCAGGGTAACAAAAATTGTCATTCCACCCAGGGTTTGTCTCAGATGTGTAAGAGCCCCGAATCTGTGGTCTGAACACATGAAAGGGTGGGAGGGCCAAGCTGTAATGCAGCATTTGTGCACGAGAGTCACAGGAAAGTGTGGTTCTCTTTCCTCTCTAGTTTGAAAAGAACACAAAGTCTGATTTGCTGCTCAAGGAACTCTATGTGGAAAATGCTCACCTGACGAAGGCATTTCAGGTCACCGAAGAGAAGCTGCGAGGTGCCGAGAAGAAAAACCGCATCTTGGAAGAAAAAGTTAGAGCTCTCAACAGACTCCTCAGTAAGATCGCTTCAGCTTCCCTCTCTGTGTGAAGGCTGCTTGTTTTCCTGGAATTCATTTCGAAAGAACATCTTTTAAAATTAAGCCACCGTGGTGCCATAATTTTCTAGGGTTCATTGGCCATGGCCCGGGCATAGGAGGTTTCTGATTCTTCTTTGTTCACCTCACACACATTTAAAAATGTCTGTTGTGCCAGATGCTCAGAAAATAGACATGCTGGAAAAGACGACATTTTTATTAGTGGTCCTGGGTAATTTCTCTAGGTAAAATTCCCAGTTTTGCTACCAATGGGTGAAACAGATTATGGCGGCTTTCAGTGAAGAAAGACTAAAAGAAAATGGTAAAATCAATTTCAGTGTTGTACTTTTGACCTTGGCTGCAGAGAGTAAAATGAAAAATAAGTGCTCTGGACAGTTTCACCCTTTCACTGTTACTGCTTTGGGTTCAGATCATTAGCATTCTCAGTATGGGTCTATACAGACATTCTAGAAAGACTACTCGCTGTGCCTGTCAGCCCTGCTCCACCACAGGAAGATGTCTGGGGAGTGCTTATTTTAAGTCTGTGGACTCAGGGATGATAGTATTTATTGCGAATGCAATCTTTTCCTCAATGAAATGTCATCACACTGGAAATTGTATTATATGTAAAGAAAAAAGAACTATAGTTTTATATCCAAAATATATATAAGTATGGTCATTTGGTTTATGAGAATAAAGTACTGTACTATGAAGAGTCACTATATTTACAAAAACTCTTTTCTATTAAAATTGTTTTAACTTCTAGGTTTAACTTTTTTTTTTTTTTAAGATTTTATTTATTTGACAGAGCACAAGCAGGGGGGAGCAGCAGAGGGAGAGGGAGACGCAGGCTCCCCACTAAGCAGGGAGCCCAGCACAGGGCTCAATCCCAGGACCCTGGGACCATCAATGATCTGAGCTGAAGGCAGACGCTTAAATGACTGAGTCACCTAGGCGCCCCTAAGTTTTTTTTTTAATTAAATATTTCAAACAAATAGAAAAACAGTTTTATGAGAAACACTCCTGTGCCCATCAATTAGATGTATTAGATAGAGGTGTAGACCCTGTTCTGTTGCTCTCAACCTCCTTCCCCTTCCTGGAGGCAGACACTACCCTGAAGCTGCTGCACTCCATCCCCTTCTGTCTGTACATTTACTATATGTGCTTATATAAGAACAACCTTAAAGCACTATGGAAAGACACAAAAGACTGGAATAGGGGCGCCTGGCTGGCTCAGTCAGTAAAGCATACAACTCTTGATTTAGGGGTTGTGAATTCAAGCCCCACGTTGGGCATGGAGCCACCTAAAAAAAAGACTGGAATAGATGGAAAGATCAGTTCTTGGATAGGAGATTCAACAGCATAAAGTTGGTTCTTCTCAATTAACTGATTAATGTAATATAGCCCCAATAAAAATACAAGTGGGTGTTCCCTGCCCCAGTTGACCCCTTGTCCCAGAGTCAGGTCTAAAGTTTACATGTACAGCAAGATAAGTGAATAATAGGGAAAACTGAAAAAAGAAGAGCAATGACTGCGAACTAGTTCTACTAGTTATTAAAACAGTCTCAATAAAATTTAGGTTACATGGTTGTGTACGTTTGTCAAAACTCATCAAAGGGCACACTTCTTCGTTCACTGTGGGCTTCTGGCTGGGACTAGAGTAATAAGGAGATTGGATCTAGTAGTCCTGAACAACACTACCAAACAACTGACATTTATAGAACCCAACAACAGCTGAAGTGCACCTGAACATTTACCAAGATAGACCATATTCGGGGCGCCTGGGTGGCTCAGTTGTTGAGTGTCTGCCCTCGGCTCAGGTCATGATCCCAGCGTTCTGGGATCGAGCCCCACATCGGGCTCCCTGCTCCGCGGGAAGCCTGCTTCTCCCTCTCCCACTCGCCCTGCTTGTGTTCCCTCTCTCGCTGTCTCTCTCTCTGTCAAATAAAATCTTAAAAAAAAAAGAAAGGGGGGGGCGCCTGGGTGGCTCGGTCGTTGAGCGTCTGCCTTCGGCTTGAGTCGTGATTCCGGGGTCCTGGGATCGATCCCCACATCAGGCTCCCTGCTCACCGGGAGGCCTGTTTCTCCGTCTCCCCCTCCCCCTGCTTGTGTTCCCTCTCTCACTGTGTCTCTCTCTGTCAAGTAAATAGAATCTTTAAAAAGAAAAAGATCATAATCTGGGAACTTGGAAAAAGCCGCAAAAAAATCGAAAGTATTTAAGTCATACAAAGTATATTCTCTGACCACAAAGGAATTAAATTAGGAATCGAGACCAGAATGATTATTTGGGAAATCCCCAAAATTTGGAAACAATAATACACTGTTAAATAACCCATGCACCATCAGAGGAGAAATTAAAAAATATTTTGAATTGAATAAAAATGAAAATACAGTATGCCAAATTTTGGGGTGGAGCTAAAGCATTACTTAGGGGAAGATTCATAGCGCTAAATTCCTGTATTAGAAAAAAGGTCTCAAATCAATGACCTGAGCTTCCACCTTAAATAACTAGAAAAACAAGAGCAAATGAAACCCAAAGTAAGTAGAAGAAAGGAAAAAATGAAGATCATAGTAGAAGTCAAGGAATAGAAGAACAGGAACCCTCATGCTAGGAATTAAGCCTAGCCCTGGGGCCTGTTTTGTAAATAGTTTGATTGGCACAGCAAACTACGCCTGCTTTTGTGCTCAGCATCAGAAACCGTGTGGCCCACAAAGTCTAAAAAAAGTTTGTTGACTCCTGCGATAGAAAACAGGAAAAAAAAAAAAAAAAGCCAATGAAACCAAAGGTTGGTTCTTTGATAACATCGATAAAGTTGATAAACCTCTAGCCAGAATGATCGGGATAAAGGAGAAAAAAAAATTTACCAATATCAGGAATCAGAGAGGTGACATCACTGCAGAATCTACAAAAAACATAAGGCAATATTATGAACAACATTATGCCAATAACTTCAACAACTTAGACAAAATACAGAGGACAAAAAATACCAAAGCTTATCCTGGAGGAAGAAGCAGCTCTATATAAAAGAAATTGAACCTTCCCACAAAGAAACTCCAGGCCCAGATGTTTTAAACATGAATTCTACTGAACATTTAAGAAGGAACTAATAATACGAAGTCTGTACAAACTCTTCCAAAAAATTGAAGAGCTAGTATTTCCCAACTCTTTCTCTGACAGGGTTACGTGGTCTTCTGACATGACAAGAATACTACAAACCAATATCCATCATGAACACAGATGCAAAAATTCTCAACAATATTTTAGCAAATCAAATCCAACAAAAAAGTATCAGTGCATCATGACCAATTGGGGCTTATGCTAGGAGTGCACAGTTGGTTTAACATTGGAAAATCAATCAGCCACTGAAATTCACCATATTAACAAATTAAAAGACAAAAAAAATGATCATCTCAATAGATGCATAAAGTGGATATGACAAAACCCAACATCTGTTCCTGATAGAAACTCACAGGGAACTAGAAATAGAAAGGGGTTTCCTTAACCTGATAATGGGCATCTACAAAAAACTCAGCTGAAGTTATAGTTAATATAAAAGATGGAATGCTTTCCTCCTAAGATCAGACACAAGATGCGGATTTCTCACCACTTTTATCTAGTACTCTCCTGGAGGTTCTAACCAGTGCAGTCAGGCAAGAAAGAGAAAGACAAGGCATCCAGGTTGGAAAGAAAGGAGTAAAACTCTATTCACCGAAAACATGACCATAGATGTAGACAATTTTTTTTTAAGGATTTTATTTATTTATTTATTTATTTATTTGAGAGACAGTGGGAGAGGGAAAGAGCACAGGAGGAAGAGGGAGAAGCAGACTCCCCGCTGAGCAGAGAGCCCAGTGCATGGCTCAATCCCAGGACCCTGAGATCATGACCTGAGCCAAAGGCAGATGCTTAACCAACTGAGCCACCCAGGTGCCCCTGAAACTTTTTTTTTAAGATTGATTGATTTATAAATGGGAGGATGAACTTTGTTTATGGGCCAGAATATCTTCAATATTGTTAAGATGTCAGTTCTCCCCAAATTGATACACAGATCTAGTGCAGTCTCAATTACAATAATAGGTTTGATTTTGGCAGAAATTGATCCTAAATTTCATATGAAAAGCAAAAGACTTCACATACCTAAGACAAATACGAAAAAGAAGAAATTTGGACCATTAACACTATTTGAGGAATTATTATAAGAGTTACATACACTACATAAAAATAGCATGGGTATTGGTGTCAGTATAGAAAAATAGATCGTTAGAACAAAATAAGCCCACACGTATACATTTTGTTGTTGTTTACAGTGGAGAAAGGATAGCCTTTTCAACAAGTGGTGCTAGAAGAGGATGGCCACATGCTTCCACTTTCCCCTGCCCAAAGTAACCTTGGGTCCATACCTTGTACCATATGTGAAAATTAACTCAAAGTGGATCCTAGAGCTAAGGGTAAGCCTAAAACTATAATACTTCTAGATAAAGGAAAAAATCCTTGTTACCTTGGGCTGGGACAAGATTTTTTAGATATGACACCAAAAGCATAAAAGAAGGGGCGCCTGGGTGGCTCAGTTGGTTAAGCGACTGCCTTCGGCTCAGGTCATGATCCTGGAGTCCCGGGATCGAGTCCCACATCGGGCTCCCTGCTC